GGGGTTATATATAGGGGGAAAATGGAAACTACTGTTTGTATGGGGCTTGGACGGCAGCAGGCAGCAGGGAAGCAAGCGCTGAGCCTGTCTCAACCCTGCAGGCTGTGGAGGGTGTGCCACGTGTCAGCCCGGAGGACCGTTGGCCAGTGCTAGGTTGTGCTATAACCCTATGTAATCCCTATATAGCACCTATATAATCCCTGTACAACCCCTATATAACCCATCATACCCAATTAATTAGGGCTGCTCGAAATTTTTGGCCATGCGCACCACCTGTCCTTTGGAGGCCCTGCAGCGCCGCCTAGATTTCCTCCTCTCCGATGCAGCGGTGACTTGCCAAAGAAGCCTCCACCTGATTGGTTCCTGTGTCATAAGCATGTGTCAGGTAAAGCAGCAGCTGGCTGCTCCGCTTCGGCCGGGCTTGAGCCCCTACTTTGTGGAATTCCAGTGCTGGAGCAGGCTCTGAGCCCTCAGAAAAAGGCTTCAGTCCTTTCACGCTTGGTATCCAGGCAGCTGCGTGAGATTCGACGCGTCTACCGGGCTCAGTACCTCCAGAAACTGGCTGAGGCATGGCGCGTTGGATAGTCCCCCTTAAGTAGATAGAACATGTCTTTGGGTCTATTTTAATAGGATCCCTATATGCCGCATATTCTATCTACTGAAGGGGGACTATAGCCCCAATATGGTGCTCAACTACTCCTGCTGCGCCACTCAGCCAGGTCACGGAGATAGAAAGAGCCCGTGAGGTACACGGGGCTCCATGTGGCTGGACATGCCAAGATTAGTAAGATTAGACCCAACTTTGTGAGTGATGCTGCTTAGTGGGCCGCCCTCTGCGCAATCTTGGACAAGGAGCTGCGTGCATTTTGCCAGGCTGAGCTGTACCAGAAAGAGAGGCAGCAGCGGCAGGAAAGGAAGCAGGCGGACCAGGGCACCCCAATCTAGACCCCAAAATACCACATTAGAATCCTTATGAGGGGAACCTCCAATAAGGTACCCCTTTTGAGAAACCCTCGTACTATAGGGTCACATAGGGAACACCTGGGGTCCATGTGATCGAAGCAAACTCCCGGTATCCCCCCTAATAACCATATAGTGGTCCCCTATATAATCCCCTATATACACCCCTTTGAGGAGTTGAGACTTTGGCTCATAGTCCGCACTATGAGATCCCAGCAGCCTCTTCCCAAGCAGTGGCAGCTGATGAGAGGCCCATCTGCAGCGCATCGGCGAGGCTGGACTTGACAAACTTGCCGCTGTTACTACTCTACTGTTATTGCTACATTACTACTATACTACCGCAATACTTTCACTACAATATAGTACTACGTTATTATTCTTATTTCGTTTCTTATTGATATTTCTGCTATATTATTACTCGTATTATTACGATTTTTCATGTTTAGTATATTTTAATTTCATTTAGGATATTCCCATATTGGCATTATTATAGTACTACCATATTGGTATTATTATTATTATCATCATTATTATAGTACTACTATATGAGCACGTCTGCTTTCAACCGCGCACCCTCCTACTGTGACTGGAAAGCTGCCTCACGCGCCGGGAAGGATTTCCAAGCAGTTGTAAGTAAGCAAGCAAGACTGGAGTCCCCCTTAAGTATACAGAATACCGGGTACATGGCTATCTTATAGTAATATACCCAGAGCCATATTCTATCTACTTAAGGGGAACTTTCAGTAAGAGGAGTTGCATAAGATGAGTTGAAGCGCATGCACTTTGAGATGGTGGTGGCAGGACATGAAGCGCAAGGCGATCTTGCGCGATCGCAAGCGCATTGAGTCCAAGGTGAACGAGGCCATCCGGTGGCGACTCGAACCGAAGCCGAGAAGTTACACATTCTAGAATGTTTAAGAGTGTAGTACAAACATAGTAATAATCGAGTATAAAGAGTAACAATTGCAGAAATAGTATAGTAATACTATAGTCTGTAGTTATTATATAGATGGTTTTACCTCGGGCTGCAGGATATGGACCAAAGTTGCCCAGAATTGCCCTTATGAGCCGCTTAGAATCGAGCCATGGTGTATGGCTTAATGATCCATTCAGCTGCACCCTCAGCCGCTCCAGTGTCTCGAGTCGGCTTTCCCCTAGCTCTCCAAGCCTGGCTTCAGGTTGACTCCAGTCAGACGCTTCACTTCTCCATCTTCTACACGCCTGAGGAAACCTGGAAGCCTCACTGCGTTCTGCTAGGCTGTGCTGAGCTGCACTGCAGGGGAACAACGCGTACAAGAAGACCCGGCAGCAGACCATCATGCGCCGAATCTTGGAGGCTCCCGGAACTGTACTGCGCCCCAGCGGCCAGATGGAAAGTGCCCTGAGGAGCACTTATTCCAGACCCACTCCGGCGACCAGCACACGGCAGTGAAATCCAAGGTTGCCGGGAGTGCTGCTTTGTCATGCTGCCTGCTACATGATGCAGGCATCTTCATCGCTGGACGATGCAGACTGGCCGGGCTCTCCCAACAGTTATTATCACCCTTTATTGCTAGTATTAGAATTCTATAAATACTATGCTTGTCCTATATCAGTATGTTGTGTTCGTATTGTCATTGTTGTTACCATTAGTACTTTTACTTTTGTCATTGCTCTTTTGGGCATCTCTCAGTTGGCTGACGCAGGCTTTTCCGCTTCTCCTCGGACACAAAGCCGGCTGGCAGCTGAGATGATGGCCAGACCACTTGACAGTTGCCCATCTTACTGGGGGTTAGTAGGGAATAAGGGAATAAACATATACACATATGTATATATATATGTGTATATGTATACATACATGTATATATTAATGCAAAATATTATCTTAGATTATGTTATATAGGGTGTATTGTTTAGGATTCAGGTTTTAGGCTGTAGGGGAGTCGGGAACAAGGGAAAATACTATGTAGGGACTATGTATGGATTATACTATATCCCTTTATGCCCTATTGCACATGGCCTAAACCACAAGACCCCCAAGCATGTCTGCTAGACATGAAAAGACTCGACAGGGTTGAACTAAAAGCCTCTGCCTATATATATTTGTATATGTATATACATACTCGTATATTCCCTACTAAGCACCAGTCTAAACCCTAAACCCTATAAAAAGTCAAAAAAATAAACGACGTAAAAAAGAAACAAAACAGTTAAAACACACAAAAAACCTGTTGCCAGTTTGCTCCTTTTGGCTTTCACAGGCCGCTTACAAAGCGCAAGGCTTCGACTACACGGAGGGCATTCTGCGACTGCAGGTCGGGCGTAGCTTACTGGTGGTTAGTTTAGGGTTTAGGGATCAGGGTTTAGGGATTATGGTTTAGGGTTTGGGGTTTAGGGGGAATAGGCGAACATGATCTCCCTCCAAAACCTCTGTAAGGATTATAGAGGGAGATGGTAGGGACTATATACTACATTCCCTTCCTCTCTGCTAATTTGCAGTAAGCTTGTTTCTGGTTAATACGGTGCCTGCAAGTAGCTTCGGGAGGCTTCGAGTTTGTTCGAGTACCCGAAGCTGGTGGTCTGGAAGCATGTTGACAAGGCTCTTTTGTGTTATGGTCCCCGTTAAGTAGATGGAATATGGGGTATATGGGAATCTGAGTATAATACCCCCAAAGCTATACTCTATCTATTCAAGGGGACTATATATGACTCTTTGAGGTCGTGGAGCTGCCCTTGACTGCAACGCAGGTTGTCTATACGCTTATCTGCGAGCCTCTGGACAATCCCCTCTTAGCATCCAGCTTTCTCACACTGTTTGTGCACGAGGTGCGGAAGAGCCTACCAGTTGTGTTGCTTCATCGCTGCTCATCTTCTTCCTGGTTCTTAGTAGGGAATAAGGGAATATGTTATATAGGGATTGTAAAGGAATTACATTCCCTTATTCCCTACGACTAAGAACCAGGAAGTCTTTCTGTTGTTTCAGTTGAGCGACCACTTCCGCAAGGCCGGCCTGCAGCTGAAATGTGGGGGGACTGTCAGGTTTGTTGTGGCAGAAATGTCTCCATTTTCAGGAGCATTCTATATAAGCCATAGTCTAAACTCCTTAAATGGGCTATATAAGGGGAGTATATAGGGGAGTACTATAGGGATTATTAAGGAGGCTACTAGGAGTTTAGACTATGGCTCATATGAGCTATAGGGGATTATATCAGGGAGTATGATACGGGATCATTATGGGGGATACTAGGAATTCAGACACTGGCTCGGTTCATATGGACTCAGGTTGAACATGGCCATTTTGCTTTTGCAGCGGTTGTGGGAGGGGTGGTATGTAATAGTATATCCCCTACATCTCCCTAATATACTAGAGCAGTTTCCATTTTGTTTTCCATTATCCCTATATAAACCCTATATATTATAGTAGTTTCCATTTTATGTTCCATTACCCCAATACAGCCCCAATACATTCTCCGCCAAGTGCCTTATTGAGCCTTGTTGCGCAGGCTGGCAGCCTAGTGGACGAAGTTTCCGCACGACCCGATGAAGTGTTGGCCATCTTGGCCTGGGTCTGAGGCATGTGACCTGTTATTACGAATACCATTGTTATTCTTATTGCTGGTTCTTATTACTATGGTTATGATTACTATACTTACTATTCGGAGCCATGTGGCCTTCCACCACAGTATTCTTTGCAGTGTTCGCCAAGAACTTCATGCTTCCTGGTGGCCAATTGCTCTTCATCAATTCCAACCTGCATCGCTTCTTGAAGTCTCAAACTTCGCAGGCTCGCTTTATCCACTCTCTGTGCAGCTGTGTATGCTGCATGCAAAATCCCTGCGCAGGTCTTGAGCCAAAAGGCTTAAAAGTCAGCCTCGCAGCAGACAGCGGAGCATGTACAAAGTTCGGCGTCTCCTCCCGCCCCCTCCCGCCTTCGGATCGGGTCCGGAGATGTTAAAAAGAAGAGCAAAAAACGGACGAGAGTATGCTTGCTCCTGTGTCATGAAGCTGGCAGCTCCCATGCTGGAATCTTACAGGCGATCGAGATGGCACGAAGATCCAAGCTGAAGCGCCAGCGCCTGTTTTGGTTTCGGCGCATGGAAACACTATCAAAGCCTGGCACTGAAGTGGGTTATTCTCAAAATTCTGGGCCCCTTTTGGTTATAAAATGCATTATGGCACTTAATCTATTTCAGGGTACCACAAATGGGACCCTAATTTTGGGAACTACCCAAGTGAGCTCCTACCTTGATTTACCTTCCTTGCTCCTCCTGCCGCCCAGGCTTGTAGTGTCTTCCGACAACTTGGAGGAAGCTTTTGCCACATTCCCAGATGGCTCCCAGGCGATCCCACCACTTGGCAATATTCATGTTAGTATTAAAAAACGTATTATTCTCATTGTTACTACTGTTCTTCCTATTTCTAGTATTCCATTATTACTCGTGTCATAGTATTGTTACTGTTGTTCATATTATTGTTATTGTTATTACTAATACCCTAAACCCTAAACCTACTAGTATTATTCTGTTTTGGGATGTCCACGCAGGCGGCTGGGACCTCGGCCAGCACCACGGCCAGCCCTTCGTGCGCCCCATGTTTCAGCCATGGGGATAGAATTACCTCAACCCTCTATGTATTCTAAACAGGGACTACATATACATATATATATATACATATATACACACCAAATTAGAGGGTCCAAGGAGTGTCCTGGTAGAGAATGTGCATCAGGGGCGTTCTCCTGAGCCGCAACGTCTCCATCCCCTATCTGCTTCGTCAGTTTGGAGGATCCAAGGCACTGGAAGCGTGCGATTACTCTTGATTCAAATCGTCTATCGCCCTTGCGCTTCAGACCGATCCACAGCAGAAAAACAGACGAATTCCGGGCATCGACAACGTGAAGCGAGAGGCGCACCTTAGCCTGGCCTTAGGTTAGCTGGGAATGAAGGAATGGAAACTATTATAGAGGGATATATAGGGACTGCTATAAGGGTCCATTCCTTCGTTCCTAGCTAACTGAAAGTAAGTAGCCCCAGCTACTTGTTTTGGCAACACGCAGATTCTGCAAATGTCCTACGACATCCTGGGCGAGGAGTGGCACGGCGAAAGGTGATCTTGGGGTCGAATTCCCCACCTGCAAGGATGAAGAGCGCTACGAGGCGGAGGTTCCGCAGGAAGCAGATTGGAGGGACCGTGCCAAGCAGCGTTTGCCTCAGTGGTTTCAGTGCCGGTGTGAGACGAGTGTTAGCTCAAACTCCTTGTTGGAAGGCTCTACAGTGATAGCATCTTCGACCACAAGCAGAAGATGGCTCTTCTTGACTCGAAGATTGCCATGCTGAAGGGGTGGGCCGCCTGTACTCAGCACAAAGCGGGGTCTCTGTGCTCACTCGTGCCCAACGCTCAGGTTGCAGGAGCTTGAGAAGCAGAAAGGAGATGAGCAAGTGATCACCGCCAAGCGAGGGCCCAAGACCCACAGCCAGAGGAGCCGTTTTATTTGTAGCTTTCTGAGGCTAATCGATGAGCTGGAGGCCGTCAAGTTGGCCGAAGAGGAAGCTGCCCAGGATGACGAGCTGCGGGTAAAGGCTAAGGAAGCTCGAGGGAAAGATCCGCCTGGACTTCCGCCTTACGATGCAGCCTCACGGATGGGCGATACTTGACAGCTTCGCTTGATCGCAAAAGCAACAACTTGCGCACTGGCAGGGGCAGTGAGCGGGAAGGTGTTTGCCATGCTTTGTTCTGGATGATGGATCGGTTTGCTTGCTAATGCCTCCGCAAGCCCAGGCAGTCATCCCTGAACTCATCTTGACACCAAAGTGAGCTCCATGCTAAATATTTCCAAATGGATGAAGTTAATCCACAGAATGGCATACATTCTCCTTGCAAACTAATGAAGGGACAATGTAAAAGGAGCGTAGTTTCTGGACAGAAAGTTGTTGATAGCAGTCTTGGTGAACCCCAACAGGAAGTAGTTTGCTCTCATGATCTCTCATGCCAGTCACGCATACCAAAAACAATTTTGGCGGCCCGCCTCATGTTTGCACATTAAAAGAAGATTCGAAAGTGCCGCAATTTACTAGATATTGTCGTTTAGGATGAGTTTCTAAAGCGTCCCATTTCCAAAGCAACTGCTTGCATGCATTACGTTACATTTTGCAAAGAACCTTCGCCAAGTGCATACTACCGGGCCTTGATTCAGATTTTTCAAGCCAGGTTTCACATAATGCAATCTTGCCAATAATGTCTGTCAAAAATCAAATCAGCGTTGAACAGTCTGTACGACTGGCCCCCTGAAGCTTGTCGGGTAGTGTCATAAAATCCGATGGTCCTTTGCTGTGTTCATGCAGCCATGTGGCTTCCGAGCATGATGCGGCGTAGCCATCAGCAGCCCATGGGCGGCACGGATGAGCATCAACTTCGCTGAGCCATCGCGGCTGTCAGCTGGGTTTTACCACAGCCTGGTACTTAGCAATGACCGGGAAGGTACTTTGATCGAGGGCGAGCGGCAGTCAGTTTCCCGGGTGTACAGCTTCGGGACGCGGCGGAACTTTCTGCAAGCCACCGCTGGAGACATCACAGGCAGAGGTCTCGGAGGTTCGGAAAATCCTGGGTCAGATGGCAAAGATTCTTTTTTCAGCGAGCCGCAACTATTGGACTCCTCTGGGCTGAGTGGGCAAGTGGTCTCTGTAAGCTGCGGAGGCAATCATTCTGCTGTCTTGGAGAAACGTCCTGGTGAAGAGGGCGGGCAAGTTTGGATGTGGGGTTTAGGTAATGGTGGTCGGCTGGGAATTGAGCGCCCGCGCAAAAGGATCGATCTGGAACATATTCTGGACAACTCCCTGTGCGCTGAAGACACGAAGGCGGCGCTCCTGAGTGACAAGACTTACCATCAGCAAATCATGGGCAGTGAGGGAAAGTGGGGTTTGAGCATGCCGTTCCGTGTCGATTTTGGCATGGATCGGATCACCTGCGTGAGCTGTGGCACCGACTTCACCTTGGCACTTACAGAGAACGGGGCCATCTATGCAGTTGTACCGTTTTAGGAATTGTTTTCAGTTGTTATCATGGTATGACCCTCAGGAAATAGTAGCAATACTATTTCTATTTTGGGTTTAAGAAGATTACAGGCATGGGGCATTGGGAGCTACGGGAATCTGGGCACCGGGATGATCTGCGATCAGTGGACCCCTGCACTGGTGCAAATGCCCAGCGAGGTAAAGTGCTGTCAAGTTGCTGGCTTGCTGTTAAGGGACTTAAATTAAATTACCATAATGGGTACATAAATGCAATCTATAAATGTAAGTATATTCTTCAAGATAAAAACATATATAAGTTTATAGCAAGTAACATGTTTTCCCCAATATAGTAACGTAGATTAAGTTCTTTAAGAGCCTTAAGAGCAGCACAGGTTGCAGCAGGCACCAAGCACTCCATGGCCTTGGCCACAACCGGTGCCATGTACTCTTGGGGCCACGGTGGCCACGGCCGGCTGGGTCATGGCCCAGCTTGTGAAGCGGCTTTAAGGCCGACCCTTGTCCAGATCGAGGGTGAGAAGAAGCCCCCAGTTTCTGGGTTGCTGTTGAGGAACTTCATTTAAGGTACTATACATGGGAAACCTTTTTATTTGCTTTCTATATCCATTGTAACTTAATTTAAGTTCCTCAACAGCAACCCAGGTTTTCAAGTTTGTAGCGGTTGGCGAGGCGCACTCGGCTTCTATTGACTTGGTGGGCCAGGTCTGGTGCTGGGGTGCCGGCTCCTTTGGCCGCTGTGGCCATGGGGAGGAGGATGACAACATGTACCCGCGGCAAGTGAGTTCCATGATTGGGAGAAGCTGCTGCCAAGTTGCGCTGGGAGTTTGTCATAGCCTGGCACTCACGGTCCGCGGGACGATCTGGAGCTGGGGAGGCTTTCTTTACACGGGCCACGGCGAAGATGATGACATCGAGACGGCACGGGAGCTAGACGCTGAGAATCTGAAGGGTCAGAATATCGTGGAGATTTGTGCTGGCCGCTTCCACTCCTTGGCCCTGAGCAGCACTGGTGACGTCTTCAGCTGGGGATCTGGGAGCATGGGCCGGCTTGGATTGGCCTCCACTGGTGATGTGGCCTGTCCAGAGCAGGTTTGCCCGGGCAAGCCGTTGCGGGGTTGGATGCAGGAGACCCAGAAGGGGACCTGGGAGTCTCGAGAGGGGAAGCAGGGAAGACAACTGGAGAGTCAAGTACAGGTCCTCGCTTGTGGCGGAATGCACTCAGCGGCAGTGGAGAAAGATGGATCCTGTTGGCTCTGGGGTCATGGTGAGTATGGCCAGAACTCTTCATCCAACGCCCAGGATTTCTGGAAACCTGTGCTGCTGGCTGCAATAGACCCTCTTTCAGGCTCCAAGATCAAGGTTCTTACTGTGGCCCTTGGAATGGAACACTGCCTGATGATCTCCAAGAACTTGGAGCTCTTTGCCTGGGGCCGCAACCACCATGGCCAGCTGGGCCTGGGCACCACCAAGGCACCTGAAATTAAGATGCCTTTTAAGTGCTTGAAAACACTTTGAGTACTTATGTAACTATGTGGATCTCAAGCTACCGGTCTCGACCTTACTTCTCTTGCGAAGCCCCGCAGGACGCCAACGAGCCGACCTTCGTGGCGGCGCTGAGCAAGGTCAGCGCGGTGGCTGCTGGCGAGGACCATTCGGCTGCTATCACGCCTGGTGGTGAGCTCTACACATGGGGCAATGCCGAATGTGGCAAACTGGGACATGGCTCAAGCATGATCCGCAGCTCCATGGGTTTCCCAAAGCAGGTGAAGATCGAGAGCCGCATGAAGTCAGTAAGCTGTGGGGCTACCCACACAGCAGTCATTGGCAGCAATGGGGAGCTGTTCACTTGCGGGGCGGGCTGGTTCGGCCGCCTGGGCCATGGGGACATGGACAATCAATACTCCCTGAAGCTGGTGCAGACTGTGATGCCAGATTTGGGAACAACAGCTGAGTGTCCCAGATTTGC